ATGGATCATTGGTGTGCACGCTTGAGGTATCATCGGGAAGGTCGTGAGCACGTTGATGATCTCAGTGGATGGACGTCCAGGGTCCGATAGCCAACTGCCGCGCAGACACTCGTGAATGAGAGCTGAGTCTCGTGTGAACACCTGAGACTGTTTGGTGGCCCTCCGATCAGTGGGGGTCAATTGGTCAACTGTCTTTGATTTTGTTTGGGAATGGCTGAGTTGGGGGGCAACATGGAGAAACCTGACGATTTTGACAATCTACATTATCTGCCTATCTGCATGTGCGCCGCTTTGCCGAGCGTCTTCATCATTTCGTAAGTTTTTGGCTTCGAATGCACGCACTGATAGACTCATTCATTCATTTCAAACGAGATTCGTTAACTATTAACGAATATTCATTTGGTCATATTCAAATCTACCATTCGCTAATAGTTAACGAAATAACTACTAACGATAACTCTAACTACTAATAACGATAACTACTAATGATAACTCTTACGTTATCATTTTGTTCGTTAGTTTGAATATTCATTTGGTCATATTCAAATCTACCATTCGTTAATAGTTAACGAAATAACTACTAACGATAACTCTAACTACTAATGATAACTCTTACGTTATCATTTTGTTCGTTAGTTTGAATATTCATTTGGTCATATTCAAATCTACCATTCGTTAATAGTTAACGAATGGTTCATTTGAAAGATGAAAGTCGAGTCAAACAACATANCAACTTTTGTCTTTTACAGTTTGGTACAGATCACACTATAGATTCAACCATTTTCAATCATCAAATTTGTCAATTAAAACGCGTGAGAAAAATAAATAAAAAATCAGGAATATTCAGGGTCATTCAAATTACATTTTGCCCAGAATTTTTTTTTTCATCACGCTGTGCGAAAAAGTAACTTTTTAGGCACGCTTCGCGTGCCTAAAACGTCCCTTTTCCACACATTGTGATGAAAAATATTGTTCGATACTCGTGGGAAAAGTGTTTTTTGGCTCGTGGGAGGTTTATAGCACGAGCCGAAGGCGAGAAAAATGAACACTTTTCCGCACTCGTAACGAAATATACTATTTTAAATCTTCGTTGTTGATAAATAAATAGTTAAAATGGTTTAAACTTTCGGAAACCTCACGATGTAATTAGTTTGGATATAACCTTTCCATATCACTTAAATCACACGGAGAGAAATATTCAATAAAAATTACGTACCTTACGAACTGGCACGGAATTTTTCCAGAGCGTTCCGTAATTTTTATCTGAATCTCCTGTGATAAATTACGATACCGTCACTTAAATTTTCTGAGTGTATGAGATGAGCATGAGACGTGAATGGGACTTTTCACATTTATGAACGATTATTTATTTTAAAAATGGTAATTTTCATCACGCTGTGCGAAAAAGTAACTTTTTACGCACGCTTCGCGTGCCTAAAACGCCCCTTTTCCACACATTGTGATGAAAAATATCGTTCGATACTCATGGGAAAAGTGTTTTTTGGCTCGTGGGAGGTTTATAGCACGAGCCAAAGGCGAGTTACGAGTTACGAGTGCAGAAAAAACTCTTTTCCGCACTCGTAACGAAATATACTATATCATGATTAATATAAATAAATTCAAATTCTGAAGGTTTTACCCTCTGATATCCTATTTACTAAAGATGAAAAAAACGTGAAGTTGTTTTACATCGAAATATCTCGAAACTGCCTGACCTAATCCTTAATCCTTAAATCTGATTGGTCAATATGTGACACGAAGTTATTCACAAAAAAAGGCGGCATTTTCAAATTCTTCAGTGACATAATTTCAAATTCTTCAGTGGTAAATTTTTTTTT